CCGATCTGATGATGATGATGATGATGATGATGATGATGATGATGATGATGATGATGATGATGATGATGATGATGATGATGATGATGATGGTCAGGGGCTAAACTACTTCTGTTTAAGGTTGGGCAGCCTAGCCATCTCTCAGCTTTCGTGCTTCCTTCGGATGGCATGGCAGCTATGCTCCGGAAGGGTGCTGCACCTGAACGATTGTCATTCATTTATCCAATGACAATCTGATCGTATCAGGATAGCCCAACGGACAGCTTTGAAAGCCGGTATACTAGTTACTTTCACATGTTGTCGTGCTCCGTCTACGTGTTCATTGGCAACACAGTTTGAGTTTACTGCAGAGAGTATTTAGCCTAGCTCAGGTCGATACTGCTGAACTATGGTAGTTATCTTAAGGTGGTGGAATAGCATACTTCTTGGTTATTTACGAGGGCCTGTGGGATAGCATGTCAGACATGCTCGCGCTATGGCTTGATCGGAATCAGAAGAGATGTCAGTCCCAACTTGTCACTGTTCACCGGTGGCTTGTAGCTGCGTGATCCAATTGGGTTCACTTGCTGGTCGTCAATGAGCGTTTATGTTGAAAATCCGTGCTGGCCAAAAACAATTGAAGATCAGCACACAACTGGAGGAGTTGCTCTCCGTTATCTGTGCGACGAGCACTGACTCCAAATCGACCGCGCAAATCTAGTTCCTGGAAGCGCAGACGACCGAGTCGGGCATTCTTATTGCCCGCAAGGATCACAATGTCAGTACCTCTTGCTTGACAGAGAAACCCGGATAAATTTCGATAGGTATCCCTCTCAGCATCAGAAGTGCAATCCGCTGAAGCATATACCGACATTACAAGCAAGCACCGTCTCATGTCGGATAGTATTGATTTTGATTGGGCTGGATAACTGAGTGGCGCAAAACGGTATTCACTGCAGTCCAGTCCAGCAACTCCCGCTCCATTTATTCCACAAGTCAGCGCTTCAAAATCACCAAACACAGATAGTGAGACGGGGAGGAGCTGGGTCCGTCCTTAAAATTGCAAGACGCATGACCACATTTGGGTCTTCTATGCGCTTTTCAGAGAACAGCACACATCAATTTTAAGAGCCTATAAGGTCTGAAGAAGCATTTACTACTTGCCAATCTGATACAGTATGGATACTGAAAGCTTCTATGTGGAAAGGATTTTAACAGTGTAATTTCGTTTGTTGTTAATTGTCAGCGTTGTAAATAAGACACATCAGTCAGGTAACTGACAATCAATTGACCAAACGACTTCTACTTTTAGCATACGAAGCAGCTGGTTAGGTGTGTCGGTGAACAAATAACTGTTGACCAAGAATCACTGCCGGTAAACCAAGTCAAAGGTTTCAGTTGAGACATCAAACCTTTACTCAAAATTCTTACAAAGCAGCAGGACGGTGTGAGATTTTTTCGGGCATCTTGCCTGAAACTTCCGACTCACATGTCAGACCCTAGTAGGTTATTTTTCGGGGAACGCTTCCATGAGCCGATGACTCCATAGTCTCCTCGGCTACAGAGGGCTGGTCCGGCCCTAATACACAGGGAATAACACAGCTACGTGGCTCCCAGCGCTGCTGCTGTGCCCTTTTAAGGTGCGTCAGATCCCTCGGTTTTAAAAGAATTTTGGCTGCATTAAGTAGTGCGATTGCTGTCTGTGATTCTTAGAGCTAAGCTTCCCTAACCTATCCTTCCTCGGAGGAATTCAGCATCGTTGCTTCCATAACCCGACAACCATGACCTTAGAGTGGAGTGTTGTTAGCCTGTTGTAACTCACTTCAGAAACTTATAGACGGGAAAAGACCCACCCAACAAGAGAACGTCGGCTTTATTGGGCGAGATGGCTCAGTGTTTAGACCGCGAATTTACTGACCCAAAGGCCCGTGGTTCGAATCCGACCTCTGCCTTTCAATTTCCTCTGTTTAGGCTCGGGTAACCTGGCATTATTCCAGCCCTCGTGCTTCCTGGTGGCGTGGAAGTTAGGCACCGAAAGGGTGCTACAGCTGAACAATACGATATGTCGGCTTAATCTGGAACATGCGAGTACAATATTACTGGGAGAGTCGCGGTAGTTAAAACGCATTCTTCAGCTTGGTACAATCACTGTTCGGCCAGTGCTGGGCGATTGGTTCCCATAGTATACGAGACAGGTCTGGACATCGGTGCACCGTTGATGGTTGCCGATTGGCTACTTTAGTGTCCCATCGGCGGCTGGCTTTTTACGTCCAGTTGACTGCGCTGCACTTGTGAAACACTTTCGGCGGAGTTGGCGGTTCCCACTAAGTTTCGAACATCATAGGGTTAATTTGATGAATCTGGCCTTCTTGACAATTCGACAGACGCCTCCTGGTGCTTTTATTGCAGGACGAATAATGGGGAAATGCACAGATCAGGTGTTCGCACTTTCTACATTGGGGTGCTCGCCGTCCTGTTTACGTTTGACAGATGCAACTGGCTTATTGCCATGTTTCTTGGGATGGTTTCCCGCAGTCACTGTTACCGTTTTTTCCACTCACTTATTTCGACAGATTCTGAAACCATGAAGTTCGATTCTACTCATTATCTTTTCTCTGCTACAGCTTCTACGTAACCCCTCGTCCTCTGCTAAGTACCTAGTCTTTTTACCGAAAGATGTGATTGATCAACCGGAATTTCCTGCCAAATGGAACTTACATCATCCTTGGGGTTGGGTACTAAGCAACACCTGTGTGGGAACTCAGTGTGGAAGCGCCCCTGACAGTCCTGTTGTCATCGTTCTCATCGGGTTTAGCAGAAATTGCTCATCTAGCTTGGAGGTGGAACGAAGTGAGTCCCTGATATATA